ATGTCCTCTTTCTCTCTCTCTCTCTCTCCCTCTCTCTCTCTCTCTCTTGTTCTTTTTTTTTTTTGTTTTTTAATCAACAATTTCGAATGTATGCTTTTAAATACGGCCGCAAAACGTTTTTATTCAGGCGACTCCAATCCTTTCAAACTTCGTTTACCGTTTAACGCTCGTTAAACTGTCGGCTTAAACGGCGTAACGCTTCGCCGCAACGCGTTTCCTAGCCGCAATAGAGAGAGAGAGAAAAAGAAAGAGAAAGAGAGAGAGAGAGAGAGAGAGAGATGCATGCATTCGCGGCCCCCAAAGTAACAGTTTGAAAACTGTATCGAAGTTGCAAGTACTGTTATAACAGGAAGCACAAATGGCACAAAATGATACAAAATTATATTCATATTATTGTATATTCCATTGAATCTAATAACGATAATGTGCATATACGTATATATATATATATATATATATATATATAAACATCATCGTGTCGATAATTTTATCGTCTAATAAAGGAAAAAGAAAAAGGAAAAGAAAAGAAAGAAAGGAGAAATGAAAATTGATGCTTTCGATAACAAATTAAGATAATTTGTTTCGTTCTATATTATAATATTAATTTAAACGAGTTTAACACGCAATTCGTGTTAATAGATACGTACAATATAATACATATATTATACATCCCCCCACACACACACACACACACATATATATATATATACGTATATATGTATGTATGTATGTATGTATGTATGTATGTATATATCGAAAGGAAAGGAGACGAATCGAATTTCCGATTTCTACAAGTGGTATTTTCAAGCCGCAAAGATACATATCTAATAGACTCTTTTAAAAGGAAAAAGAAGAAGAAGAAGAAGAAGGAAAGAAGAAAAAAAAGAGAGAGAAAAAAAAAGAAAGAGAAAGAGGCGTTGAAAAAATGAAGAAGCAAACACGCACACGAACATGCACACACGTACACATACACACATGTACACACTGTGGAACGTCAAGATGGGAGATGTGAGTTCTCTCTCTCTCTCTCTCTCTCTCTCTCTCTCTCTCTCTCTCTCTCTCTCTCTCTCTCTCTCTCTCTCTCTCTCTCATTCTCTCTGTCACAAGTCGAGAGATCGAATGCGTTCGAGAAACGTGTTCTTGCCGCTGATATTACCGTTAAGTTCGTCCGGTGAAATGTAAAAAAAAAAAAAAAAAAAAAAAAAAATAGAAACAAAAAATGAGTAAAAGAGGAAAAAAAAACAAAAAAACAAAAAAACAAAAAAAAAGAAAGAAAAGTCGATCATAATGAAAGATAATAATATATTTTCTAAGATTAACGTTAAATTCGATCGAATTAGAATTGAAAGGTGCGTATTAGATTGTACATTATCATTTTGAAATGTTTAATTCGACATGTTCTATATATTAACGAAATTACATTGCCGATGACGTAATGTGAATTTTTGTGCAAGACTCTTGATGCGTTTCTCATTCGAATGAAAGAGAGAGAAAGAAAGAAAGAAAGAAAAAAAAACAAGAAAGATAGATAGATAAATAGAGAGAGAGAGAGAGAGAGAGAGAGAGAGAGAGGAGGATTATTTATATAGTAGTCAATATTAAACTTCGATACCTTCAAAGTTTATTTCTATCGATCGCCTTGATGCTATATAATTCTCATTGACATTGTTTATAATAATCACATGTGCGTGTAGGTTGCAAATTATTGCGTCAATTACCAATAATAACGAATATGATAGAAAGAAAAAGAAGAAGAAGGAGAGAGAGAGAGAGAGAGAGAGAGAGAGAGAGAGAGAAGAAGCGTGGATACATCTTGTTGGAATGACGCCTTGAAAATGCTTCCACAATGACCTCAAATAACCAACGAGATAGATCTACGCACTTCGCTAGATCCTACCCATTGCAACACTTTGGCTATGCATTAATTTAGCAATTGCTATGCAACCCCGAGATGTAAAGGAAAAAAATATTTACTATGGTATGAAATATATATATATATATATATATAAAAAAAAAAAAAAAAAGAAAAAAAAAATGAAAAAAGGAAAAAGGAAAAATTATTTCTATAATGTCAACCTCAAAATATTTTACGCGGGATTCTTTTGTAATATCCTAAAAGTCATAAAAATATAAAGAGGATAAAATATAAACTAAAATATAAACTAAAATATATATATTGTGTGTATGTGTGTGTGTGTGTGTGTGTGTGTGTGTGTGTGTGTATGCATGTATGTGTGTGTGCGTATATATAAAAGTAAATAATAAAAGTAATAGAAATAATAAATGTATGATATAAAGTGAAATATAAAATACGTATAAAGTATAATTACGTATAAAAAAAAAAAAGGGAAGAAGAAGATAAATTATCAATCTTCTATAATACAATTTGTTGTCGTATCTAAAAAAAAAAAAAAAAAAAAAAAGAAAAAAAGAAATAAAAAAATTATAAAGCTACAATATGAAAATTGTAACGTTACTTATAGTGGTATAATTATACTATGAAAAAAAAAAATTAAATATAATGAGGAAGAAAAATTATAAACTTTGAACGTTTCTAAAGCTGCAATAAAAGTTTGCGTCGATGAAATTTAATAAAATATAAAATAATATATATATAGAAATATAAATGTAAGCGTAACTTTAATATTACGCACATAATTACGTGTAATTATTAATAGATTTAATATTATCAATTTATTTATCTACACGATGATAATGACGTCGAATTAACGATAAGAATGATTTTTTTTCCTTTCACGTGTTTTTTTTTCTTTTTTTTTTTTTTTTTTGTTCGCGACAAAAGAAAAACTATTTTTCTTTTCTTTTCTTTTTCCTTATGTGAACGAGAAAGAGGAAGGGAAAAGAAAGAGAAAAATGAAAAAAAAAAGAAAAAAAAAAAAAAGAAAAAAGGAGAGAACAAAAAATAAGTACAACAATGAGCAAAACTACAATGATAAATATTTTCCCAAGATTGTTGTTTTCAATGATTTCAAAATACGGAAAACACATTGGATATATATATTTACGATCGATCGAACGATAAATCAATCATCGTGAAAAAGTCAATGTAACAATGAGCTATCTTTCGATCTTTCGAGGGCTTACTATGTTTTGCGCGTGCGCACGCGCGTCAATAAAAGAGAAAAAAGAGAAGAAAAAGGAGAAAAAAAAAAAAGAATTAAAGAATAAACAAACCAAAAAAAAAGAAAAAAAGAATTTCCTAAATTTGACATAACAAAATTTGCACAAATTCGTACGATCTTTACGAATCTTTTGAATGAATGACAGAACATTGATTGTAACACTGACAATCAACGTGTCATCTGTTTTTCTCTTTCTTTCTTTTGTTAAAAACGAGAGAACAGAAGTGAATGATGATGATGACGATGATGACGATGATAAAAAAAAAAAAAATAAAAAAAAAAAGGAAGAAAGACAGAAAGAAAAGAAAAAGGAAAGAAACGGAAAAAAAAAAAAAAATAAGAAAGATGTCCGACGCGGCCCCTGTGAAAAAGTTGATGTATATTTTTAGTGCTCATTCATTTCTACAACATGGAGGATACATACAGAATACCCCAAACGTTTTCCTTTATGTATTTATTTCGGAGAGAACGATCTCGCGAGCAGATGTATCGTTACTGGCTTTAACCTCTAATAAATCCGTGGCGATTAGTTTTCCTTTCCCTCTTTCCTCCCTCTCCTCTGATCTTACTCACCCACATACTAAAGGAGACGCTATGGCCGACTTGAAAAAGAAGAGAAAGAGAGAGAGAGAGAGAGAGAGAAAAAAGAAAAGAAATAAAGAAGGATAAAGAGCGCGTGGAATAAACCGGAAGAATGAAATAAAAAAAAAGAAAGAAAGAAAGAAAGAAAGAAAGAAAGAAAGAAAGAAAGAAAGAAAGAAAAATCATGGTTTTGACTTTTAAAATACACAGAGTATGTACATACAAACAAATACGTACGTACATGTATATATATATGTATATATATATACATATATATATATCTATATATGTATGAATGTATGTATGTATGTATGTATTATACTATCATACATGACAGTGATTGTAATAAAATTGCATGACTTGGTCATTTTGAAAATATCAAATCATCTTATTGATTTAAATTTATTTATATATATTTATATATATATATATATATATATATATATATATATATATCTTTGAAATTGTCCAGTCAGTTTGATTATCTAGAAAAAAAAAAAGAAAAAAAAAATCAAACAAAATTACACTATTCGTTATTTTTTAGATTGAACAATAATTAATTTAAGAATTTTTACATTAATAGTTTATACCTGAATAAATAATAATAGTACTTTTTTTTTATCTTCCTTCCTTTATTATTATTATTATTATTATTATTATTATTATTATTATTATTATTATTATTATTATTATTATTATCATCATCATCATCATTATTATTATTATTATTTAATTTCTAGATAAACAATATCAATATTTATTTATTTAAATATTATTATTTTATTAAAATCTAAAATACTAAAAAAAAAAAAAAAATATATATATATATACACAAAATATAATAATTCCTGAAGATTAGTTAAATAAATTTCATCGAGTCTGATCTGTTATTAAACGAACAAATTAATTTAATTAATAACATTATATATGTATATAATATTATTAATTATATAATTAACAATATTATATATTATATATTATATATCATAATTATATAAAAACTGTGAACGTTTCTAACGCGAAATATCTAATCTCATTCTTTAAGTGCAATCTTATGCATATTCTTATAATCCAACTAGTACTGATGGATCAACATGTATTTATGCACATACATAAATAAAGAAAAAATATTACGAGCCTTGATTTCAACGACTTTCTATATGGATTTAATAAACGTAAAGATGCGCTCTTACTTTCTGAAATGAAATCTATATTTTGATCATTCAATCTCTTTGTGGAAACTCTGCACACCAAGTTTATATATATGTGTGTGTGTGTGTGTGTGTGTGTACATACATACATATTTAATTTCTTTTTTTTTCTTCCTCTTTTTCACCGGCCATTCCGGTAAACCAACTTTACAGATCAACGAATCGTGAAACTTGTTTCGAGAGTGAACGATTAAAAAGAAAAAGAAAGAGAGAAAGATAGGGAGAAAAAAATGTGCATTTTAAATACATCAAAGTGCAATACATTCGACGTTATCGATTCGATCTTAAAACAAAGTAGATATCTCGTTTGCAAAAGGGGGGGGGGGGGGAAAGAAAAAAAAGAAAAATAAAGAAAATCTTAATTATTGCGTAGATACGTTTTCTCTTTGTCTCTCTCTTTCTCTCTTCTTTTTTTTTTGATGTTACAATCAATAATGAACAAACAAAAAACATATTTGATTCTTGATGCATATATATATATATATAGTCATATGTTAATTATAACTGGGCTTAATGTTCGTAAGTTAGGTTACGATAATCTAATGTTTTTGTAGGAAGTAAAAAGACTTTGACCGAAGTTTGTTTCTCGAAAGAGAAAACACATTTGTCTGTGTGTGTGTGTGTGTGTGTAATTGCAAATGTGCATATATATATATATATATGTGCAGTATGGTTTCAAAAAGAGAAAAAGAAATTGAATGAAAACGTTACTCACTTTACTCGTAGATATTATTTTCTTTACGTGTTGTTTGAACTTCGACGTATAATTTCCTAAAAAACAATGAAAGAAAAGAAAAATTTTATATTTGTCAAATTAAAATTTGTAGATACAAACATATATATATATATATAATATATACATTTCCTAACCTCTTTTAGTTAGTCTGATTACAACTAGGACGTTACAAAGTCACGTAAAATTATATCGACCGTTTTAATATCCACCTTCCGTTCCGTTCTAATTTCTAAATACATACATACATGCATACATATATATATATATATATATATATATACATGTACACATAGGATATAAGTAAATAAAAGACAAATAAATAAATAAACGTCGTTGTACGAAATACAAAAAAAAAAATCGCGTCTTCGAAAGCGAAATAGCGTCTTCGAAGTTTATAAAAGGATAAAAAAGAAGAAAACAAAACGATTATATCGATCGTACGTATTAAATTAAATACGTAATTACTTACTTACGTTACAATTGCTAATCACGAAATCGCGATCGTTAAATTTTACCGAACGACGCGTTCGCTGTTCCGTTAAACGAAAAAAAAAAAAAAACGAAACAAAAGAAGGTATCTTGAAAGTGAAGCGGGAAAGATAAAATTTAAATCCGACAGGGATGTAGTCATTATTAATGCGGGCCTAGGTCACGGGCGGCGGATCAGTTTTCTTCTTCTTCTTCTTCTTCTTCCGTCCCTTCTTCTTCTTCCGCCCCTTCTTCTTCGTTCTTCTTCTTGTTCTTCTACAATCTTCGTAGGTGCCGGTTAGTTAGTTCGCGAGAAGGCCAGTGGCCGCGCTCGTGCTCGCTATAAATAATCATGGCGCGGCGATGTCCAAGTATAGACTGTTGGTAATGTGCCAGACTGAGGAGAGGCTTCGATCTATTTTTGAGTCTGTCGCCGCTAGTACTGTTGCTACAAAAACGACGAGAGCTATCTAATCAAAACCACGGACATCGTGGAAACGCCAGAGAATTAGAGATGGAAGAAGAAGACGAAGACAAAGGACAAAGAAGGAGAAAGAGATAGAAACAGATAGAAAGTGAATAGATACATGGACAAAGAGAGAAATAGAGAGATATATAGAAAAAGAGAGAGAGAGAGAGAGAGAGAGAGAGAGAGGAAAAATAAGAATGAAAGTTCAGTAATCTTTCCTCTCCCCCCTCCACTTTTTTTTTATCCAATCACGACTCTCTCTTTATTAACTCTCTCTCTCTTTCTCTTTCCTTCTCTCTTTCTCTCTTCCTTTCTTCTCTTCTTCTCTTTCTCTGCCGTTTCTGTTTCTTTCTTTTTTTTTTTTTCTTTTCTTTTTTTTTGGCTAATGTCCCCCTTTTCGTTGAATAGTTACGTTCTAAGTTAACCTTGAGGAGCATCGATTTATCAGACCGATTATGTCAAAGCACGAGGTTACCAGTTAAATAGGATTTAACAACTATAGGTTTCGACGAAGGAGAAATGACCCGCCGACGTTCGCTCCTGGTTAAATCATCGAATCATCGCTCGCTTCTCTTCTCTCGTTTCAGGGTCGAACAAAGAAAGAAAGAAAAAAAAAAGAAAGAGAAAAAAGACCGAGAGAGAGAGAGAGAGAGAGGAAGAAAGAAAAAAAATGGCGCCACTTTCAAATAGAGAAAGATAGAAAGAAAGAGAATTTTTAATGGAATGGTAACAATAGAAACATACATTCATTAGAATACAATAGATATAAGGATTAAATTATTAATTTTAAAGGATAGTTCGAAATATTAAATCCCTTTGCGTCAAAATTTTTTTTATTACAACGCGATATATATAATGTAATTAATTTTTACACGATTTTATTCTCTTTAACCTTTATAAATCAATATATCACGATATAATGTAATTATATCGTACGAAATAATGATGATGGTGATATTATTACGAAGGAAAGGTTTTTTTCTTCTTTTGTTTTTCTTTTTTTTTTTTTATTTCTTTCGAACGATTTCACGTGAAGCATCATCGATCGCAAGGAAAAGGTCATTTAAAATTGCCGCCGTAAAATGAACGACGGCGGCATCAATATCTGCGCAAGAGCTTACGCGCAGTAACTTCTCTTTCGTCATGAATACGACGAGAGCGTGTCTCTAGTTAAAGTCGATTCGTCATAACTCTTATTCCATCCATTTATTTTATCAATATTCAGTTTATAATATTTCTTCGATTTAAAAAGAAAATTATCTTTTGAAAAGATTTCTATATAAATATATATATATGTATATGTATACATATATATATATATATAATATACATATGTATATATATATATATATCGATGGTAAACAATCGATAGATATTTAATCGAAAATCGATCATATGATTAATAGTAACATATACATATATATATATATATACATACATATAAATTTTTATCTCGATAATATTGTAAAAGTAATGTAAAATAATATTCTCATTAATATATACTTGACTGGTCGTCGTTATTCATTCTGTTGTCTTAAGCCGTTGGTTGTTTCCATGAACGTACTGTAAGCGTCAAAGGGCGCTGCCTTAATCATCCAGAATCGGTGGACTGACGAGTGGTCAGTGAAGTTGTTACGATCTCTATTCGTGAATAGTGGGCGAGGTTTTTTTCTCCCTCCCTCCCTTCTCCCAATTATCCACAAATTTCCCTTTATTTATATATTTTACGTACGAACGATCAAAATCACGGTGATATAACAATAACGTGAAAACTTTTATTCAATTGTATTATAATTGGTCAAGAATCGTAAGAAATTCAAACGATCGTAAGTTTATATATATATATGTATATATTTGTGTATATATATTTGTGTATGTATTTTATCTTTACGATACACTAGTAATATGTTATATATAGTTACTTTATATATATATATATACATGTACATACGTTTATATAGTTCTTCCGATAAATATCAATTGCCAAATTGGCAACCGACTTGTCAATGAAAATCGATCTGAAATTATCTGGGTCAAAGGGCATCAGCCGTATTGGACATTTGCCGAATTTAAATTCTAATTGTCGATACACCGATCGGACTCGATCACGGACAACAGTTAACGCTTTAGTTTCTCGGTCGTTAGCAACTAGTGTACTGTCATTTAGATACGGCTCCTAAGATTTCTTCGACTTTTTTTCCTTTCATTCATTCATTCATTCTTTCTTTCGTCTTATTCTTCTTCCTCTTTTATTCCTCCTCCTGTTCCATCATATCCATTTAAAAACGAAACAATATTTTCTCATTGATCCTATTCATAGAAAATATTTTCTATTTTGTGATATAATTAAGCCGGTTAATTTCAACGTGAATTGATATTTATAAGATCAGTTCAATACAAGTGTTTATTTAATGACTTTTTACAAATTTTTTTTTGTTTTGTTTCTTCTTTTGATTAAAGGAAAAAAAATAGTTTTATCAATTTAGTTATATTGACAGTGATAACTTATTGTTATTCTTAATTTTTATTCTTTCTGTTCTCTGTGTGTGTGTGTGCTTTTTTTTTTCTTTATTACAACCTTTTGATAAGATAAGATTTATAAACGAATTGGAATATAAACCTTGGTGTAAAGATGTCTCGTAAGCATTCAATAGTTGATCAACGTCCATGGAATAATTTTCAGACTTCAGCGTCAACTAAAACAACCACCATGACAACAGCAGCCAAGTTATACGGCAAGGATTTAAGTGAATATGAAGATGTTGATGTGGATGAATTGCTGGCACAGTTAACGCAGGAAGAAATCAATATACTTGCCAAGGAAGTTGATCCAGATGTAAGATCTAAAGATTCATATGGTATTAAACAATATTTACAATTCTTTTGCATGCGTTTTATAATTTTTCTTGTTATATATATGACTTATTTTTCCATTGTCTCATAGTGTATTTGCGTGTGTGCGTGTCTGTTTCTGTGTGTGTGTGTCTGTGTGTGTCTATGTGTGTATCTATAAACTGGATAATTTAAAATTATATAAAAATATATATTACTTTTTAGGATAGTTTTATGCCTCCATCACAGCGTTGCAGCTATGAATGCGACAAGAGTCCCACAGGGCCACTTAACCGAAAGAAACTCATCGAACACATTAATAAACAAGCATTGGAAACACCGGATAGACCAGAATTAAAACCTTATGTACCTGGAGTTATTAGAGGAAAAAAGGTTAGATTGATGATAAAATTTATGTTACCGATGAATTATTACAGCTATAATATAAATTACTTTATTTTATTTACAGTGGATCCCACCGTCTCAGGAAAGCGCAAAGGAAAAAGAGGCAGAAGAACAAATTGCTATAGATCTTGGCGATGAATATGAACAAGCATTATCTAATGCGACTCAAGAAGAGATTATTGATCTTGCAGGTAAATATATGACATAACGCAGACAATTTGTGACAATTTATTTTAAATATGTAAACGTTACTTTATATAAAAACTTTTTTTACATTTGTATATAGCAATTCTTGGATTCCACTCTATGATGAATCAGGATCAATATCATGCATCTTTATTAAATTCTGGACAGCCTGTGGGATTGGGCTGGGATGGAGTGACAAAAGCTAGTCAACCAAAGCCTTATCCAATGGAACCACCTAATGATACGGACGTTGATGCAACTATCAAACAAGTTAGAGATGATGATTCTTCTCTAACTGAATTAAATTGGAATAATATTAAAGTAAGTAAATTTTTATCATGTACAATATCATATTAATATTAATATGATAATATTAATATATCAATCGCATTATAATATTACATTTTTTCTTTTTATTATATTACATTATAGAATATCTCGGATGAGAAATTTATACAATTATTTGAAGGATTGGAAGGAAATACGCATCTTGAGTCATTAAGTTTAACCAATGTTGGACTTACTGACAAAACGGCACAAAGGTTGGCAGAAGCCATGGAAAAGAACTCTACGCTTAGAGTATTAAAGTATGTACACTTATAATATATATATATAAGTTCTAGTGATATTAGAAATAAGTAATAGCTTCGTTTTAAAACTTCACTTTTTTTTTTTTTTTTTTTTTTTTTTTCTTTTTTTTTTTAGCGTCGAGACAAATTTCATAAGCCCACCTGTGATAGTGAGGCTCATTAGAGCTCTTCTTAAGACCAAATCGATCGAAGAATTCCGATGTTCCAATCAGGTAATACATAGAATCAATCTCTTTGAATAAAAATTAATGAAAAATTGAATAAACATAATCTCACTTGTAAAATATATATATATATTCTTTTTTTTTTTTTTTTTTTTATAGAGATCACAAGTATTGGGTAACAAAATTGAAATGGAAATCACACAATTGGTAGAACAAAATCCAACGTTATTACGACTTGGACTTCACTTTGAGTTTAATGATGCAAGACATCGCGTTGCTGCACATTTACAACGTAACATCGATAGGAGTAAGTAAATTATAATTCAGATAATATTACAAATCATTTTATAAATAGCATTTATTTATTTATTTATTTATTTATTTATTTATTTATTTTTTTATCTTTTTTCATACCGTTATTTTCTATTTTTTTTTTTTTTGTTTTCTTCTTTTTTGTACCAATTTGTTAATATCAATCAGGTCTTATGTGTTGTCGATTAAGCGACACTTTCTGAAAAAAAAAAAAAAAAAAAAAAAATTTTCCTAGGATTTATTGCAGGTTAATTTTATCATTTTTATAGATCCTCCTGATGTTTATATACAACCAATATATATATATATATATATATATATATATATATATATATATATATATATATGTTGTATTTAATTTGATTTGTATCCATTTTATCTGAAGAATATAAAATCTGTTGTTTTGCAGTTAAGCCAATATAAAATTCAATGTTATTGTATAAATGACATGAGTAATTGATTATTAATATTAAAATTAAAAATGTGCATAGATATCTAAAGGAGATGTATTGTTTCGACAACGTTAAAGAAATTATTGATTTTTCATTTAGATGGGAGCAATTGTATGAGGAACAGTGGAGACCATATGACGAAATGCTTCTAAGCCTTTTTAATCTGCTTCGTAGTCTCACGTAGCGCTTTATTAGCAAATCACTATTCATCCAATCATCCCGCTATATTCATTCATTATTTTTATAGTTAGTGACATTGAGAGGTAATTATGATAACCCTAGAGTGTGACCGTCCAATTATATATATATAAAAAAAAAAAAAAAAAAAAAAAAAACAAAAAAAAACAAAAAAGATAAAAAAAGAAAACACCTATCATTTCTTCTATCAAGATTTTCTTCAAACAATTGATTCTAATCATTTTATATCAAAAGATATTGTACCTAGATATCTGTATATCTTTAAAAATCAACAAACAAAACAGAAAAAGAAAAGAAAAAAACAAGAGGGGGTAGAATCAATTTTGAACAATTAAATAGAATTGTTAGCAAAAGCACTGAAGATTAGCCATAACATATTCTAATTATTTTGATATTGAACGCTATTATATTAATTTTTGGCTTTGGTATTTTGATCTTGTTAGATTTGATAAGAAAAAAGAAAAAAAAAATGCAATGACAATGTTTACTATAAATTAATATAAATTATCTTTTTGGTGGTATATTATAAAACATAAGTGAATAATTCAAATTGATACCTCTCATATTCAATACAGGGATGAGATTGATTAACTTTCTTTATTTTTCTCTCTCTCTCTCTCTCTCTCTCTCTTTCTTAATATCATTGCTTAATTTTTAAACATTATTTTTAAACTATAGACATTCTAATTGCAGTATATGAAAAGATATTGGTAAATTTTTAAGATATATATTCTAGGTCAAAATCTTCAATCGTATATAATCATTTTAATCCATTTAGGACGTTGAACACACGCAAACGTATCATAATGTATCATTTTAAAATCAATTGCATGCTTTTTCTTTTTTTTTTTCCATTCTTTTTTTACATTCTTTTTCTTTTTCTTTTCTTTTCTTCCTTTTCAATGTTTTTTTCTTTTTCTTTTTTTTTTAATTCGCTCATTAATGTCTTTCATCGTTCATCTGTCCTCGCTTTATCACAATCAAACAAACGAATCGTTGACGAATAAAAATTCTTGAACGGTGATATATACATGTATATGTCAAATATCGATCGAGTTAGTATTTTATAATTTATTACATCGTATCGATAATCATCCATCCGATAACACGTGTTGAACGCGTTTTATATTATATTATGTCAGAGTCGTGGGAGGGGAAGGGGGTGAGGAGGAAAAAAAAAAAAAAAAAAAAAAAAGAAAAGAAAGAAAAAAAAAACATCTTCCTTTTTTTTTTTTACTTGTTTGTAATTGAGCTTTAATCATTAATTAATATATTTGTCTGGCCAGTCTGTCGTGTGGAACCTATGGAACGCGCTAAGGTCATAGCGATCGGCTCGGGTCGTGACACGTTCACCGTTCTTCCTGTAGATGCTCTAAAAAATCGTGCCTAGCGCTGACACGGCGCAGTGAGTAGTAAAGAATAAGATAAATTACAATTGAGAACGAAAAGCAATTTGTTTATTTTATTTTATTTTATTTTATTTTATTTTATTTTATTTAATATTTTTTTTTTTTTTTTTTTTTTAATATCCACCCTTCAACCCCGCCCACGTCCACGTTCATGCCTCCTACCCCCGTCCCCCCCTCCTACCGCCCTACAGTTTTGACAATTCGTTTATTATTTAAAAGTGCCTGATGCATCGAGTTTTAACCCGTGACCGATCGATTGCAAGTTTTTATAATTCCCTGAATGAATAATTACCGTATGACAGCCCAAATCATCGTCTTACGTCTTAATCGGAAATTATTAAAAAAAAAAAAAAAAAAAAAAAAAAAAAAAAAAAAAAAAAAAAAAAAAAAAAAAAAAAAAAAAAAAAAAAAAAAAAAAAAAAAAAAAAAAAAGGAAATAATTTTAAATGTTTCGATCCGAAGGATGGGGGTAGGGGCGGGTGGGATTATTGTGCGATTGTTGTGCGATGAGGTGAGGTGAGAATCCTGTCACATTATATTTGTATATTTGTTTGCGATTTGTTTGTACACATGCATATTGATTATATAATATATGATGATTTTTTATTTATTTATTTCTTTTTTTTTTTTTTTTTTTTTTTTTTTTTTTTTTTTTTGTCTTGTAATGTCTCTCCTGTCCGATCGAAGATGAAACTTCTTTTTTTTTTTTATTTTTTTTTTTTTTTCGAGATCAAGATAATCATCAGAGAATAAATCAATTAAATGCCGAATGTTATTGTTAACGTATACGTTTATTAAACTAACGATAATATTCATTAATCATGCAATCGCATATTCGTGCACGCATCATTTTCACAATTTGTCGTTTTTCCTTTCTTTTCCCTTTCTTCTATTTTTTGTTTTTTTGTTTTTTTTTTTTTTTCTTTTTTTTTTCATTTATTTATTTCGCTCACATTAAATTCATCATTTCTAATTCATCTCTATTAGATTTTCTAATTACTTTGCTCTTGTCAATTGTAACTGACATACGTATACATGTATAATAATAAACGACATGCACGCAAAAATGTTCCATGATCTGGGATGGGGTGGGGTGGGGTTGGGGAGGATGAATTTTTATACAAGGGACAAATTTATCAAGGATTTATCATCGAATTGCGTTTATATCGTTAATAATAATTCGACGATCCTTTACCGTTCGCCCATCCCTTTTTCTCCTCCTGCCCCTACCCCCTTCTCCACCGCAACCATTCCACCCACTCACTATTTCTCCAATAAGGTTTCTACATACCTACTGTTGTAACATAAGTGTCTCTGTTGTAATTGTCTGATTTTTTCAGGGATACAGGATACATTTAAACTCGAGGGTGAATGTCACCTTTAACCCACGCAATATATATATATATATATATATATATATATATATATATACATCTAGATTTTTATTTTATTTCTTTTTCTTTTTTTCTGTGTTCTTCATCTTCTTCTTCTTTCTTCTTCGAAAACGTCTAAAAAAAAAAAAAAAAAAAAAAAATCACAATGTAATTCGATTAGAAATTATTAGATCCAATTAAGATCTAATGACGAATCATATTAATTCGTATTGAAAATTTTTTTCACGAAATTTATTTATTTATTTATTTATTATTATTATTATTATTATTATTATTATTATTATTATTATTATTCAGATTATATCTTGAGAAAGATGTATATACGTATGTAATTAGGTGACACACACGTACACATACTATAAAAAGAAAAGTATCATATATATTATATATGTATATATACATAATATGTATATATATATATATATATATATATATATATATATATATATACATATACATACTATGTTCACACGTATGCATATATATATACACGTACACACACGTACACACACGTAAACACACATATACATATGTACTACCCTATAAAAGAGACAGAGAAAGAGGACTCTTATGGAGAGTCTTATAACTGCGATATATACTTATGATACCTATTCTTTCCCAACAGTACGGAAAGACCTAACGCTGCGGCTACAGTTCAGATTCTTTAACATGAACCACAGGAAACCTGCCTTGATTCAATGAAAGGTAGCTGCCTGCTGTTTGCTAATCGATCGGCAGAGTGGGCTGCGCCTATTTATTTATATATATATATTTTTTTTTGTTTGTTTTTTTTTTTTTTTTTTTTTTAGTTTTCGTTTTAGTTTTTTTTCTTTATTCTTTCTTTCTGTTTTTTTCTTTTTTTTTTTTTTCTTCTTCTTCTTCTTCTTCTTTCTTTCTTCTATCGCTAGACAAGACGAACAGTATTATTGTTCTAAACTATTTCGTAGTGATCATGCAATGTCTTTCTATTTATTTATTTATTTATTTTTTTTTTTTTTTTGTCTTTTTATTATTGAAAATAATACCTTAAAATATTGTTGGATTTATTTTCAATTGATCTCTCTCTCTCTCTCTCTCTCTCTCGCTCTCTCTCTCTCTCTCTCTCTCTCTCTCTCTCTCTATCGTGAAATTCTCATCGTACGAGCCGTTTAATGATAATAACGATGTAAACGAATAAATAATTAAATAATGAAAAGAAAAGAAAAAGTAGAAAACAATGATAACGTAATATATTAAAATATTATCTAATAGTGTTAGTAGGATATCTTTTACGTAAATCAGTTTAAAGTTACAATGCTCATTGTTTTATAGCAATGGATCGGATTTTTCGCTTGAATAGATCAAGATCTACGATCATGTCGTATCATTTCAATATTATTTCGATCTTAACGCACTGTCTTTTCGTGAACTATTTTTTTTTTTTTTTTTTTTTTTTTTTTTTTTTTTAATCGTCCATCTGTATCTACGAATAAACTAACGCGAAATTAGATTGCTCGTACGATTCTTATAAAAAAGAAAAGAAAAGAAAAAAAAAAAAAAAGAACGAAATCAAAATTAAACTCAGGAATGTTGGTTTTGATGTTAAATCAAATATCAGAAATAAATTGATTTACAATATCGCGATCTTGCATTGAACACACGTGCTCATATCGTATAAAATTGAAACGCCATGAAAATCAAAAAGATCCTATACGTGTTAATAAAATCTATTTATCCGTCTCTTTTTGTTTATTTATTTATTTCTTTTCTTTTTTTTTCTTTTTTTTTTTTTTTTTTTGATAATAATAAAAAAAAATACAGATCACTACGCAATAGTTAATAACATTATACACAGTTTATCTAATCTGCTCAACGTTAATATAATAAATGCTATTGACAGTTTCGATGTAGCTTAATTAACAAAATGCATCTGATTTGAGAGTACATAGAAACACACACGTACACACACGCACACACATTTTTTTTTTAATTTTTTAACGTTTGATTTAAAAGAAAAAGAAATTAAAAAAGAAAAAAAAAAAAAAAGAAAAGAAGACTAGTAACAAATATTCAATTGATCGAAGAGAAAAATGTACGTAAGTAGATACGTAGATCTGATTCTAACGTACGTTAGAAAATTTCGTTAGACATTTTCGTTAACTCATAGAATAATCGGAAGTGTAAACTCGGCGAATAGCATATCAGGCGAACTATAAACTTTGAAATAGGTTTTTGATGTACCTTGTAGAAAGGGTTCAAAGATTAAGATCTGACGCGTTAATTAAACAAACACGCAAATTTGTCTAACGTGATAATGTCCTTAATAGTTAGTTGTTGTTCGATAAAAAAGATTTCGTTGAATTAAAACTTGAAACGTGTTCAAATTACTTCTTTCGTTTTGAAGAGTTATATTTGTAATCGTTCCGAAGGGGGTGGGGGAAAGAAAAAAAAAAAGAAAAAAAAAGAAAAGCAAAAGAAAAGGAACGAAAAAAAAAGAAGAAAAAGGAAAAAGAATGAAAAGGAAAAAAAAAGAAGATCGTGAAAATTCTTTTCGACCTTGTCGCATTTGATCGTCGTCAAAGAGAAATTCCATCTCGACCTTTTCAACTTTATCGTTCGCGCGAATTCTCGTTTCTGTCGTCGATCAAAATTCTTGTCCTTTCGATTTGAGAAAAGAAAAAAAATATTATATATATATATATATATATATATATATATATGTATGTATATATACACAAAAGCTCTTTCAAAGAGTTCTCTTCCGATTGTAGAGTTAATCGAGCTTTTAATTCGTTGGAGAGTTCATCACAGTTGGGATTATAGTTCGAGCATAAAGCGCTATTTATATGTATATATATATATATATATATATATATATATATATATATATTTTTTTTTTAAATATTTTTTTTTCTTTTGTTTGAACTGTCAAGTAGTCACTCGAGAATCGAAAAAAAGAAAAAAAAAACT